GCAGGCCTGGCCCAGGCTGGGAGGAGGGCCTGGGGCTCTGGAACCAGACCTGCCCGTCTGAATTGTACCCACAGAGCCCAAAGGGGCTCCCCCCACCCATGAGCCCGGCCGGAGAGGCGCCCCCCCCGGGCCAGTCTCACCGCACACGAGCTCTCTCTGAAGCCCAGCTGCGGCCTCTCGGAGGTGTTTGATCTGCTCTGTAAAAAGGGGACGTCTTGCTAGAGAAAGTAGCAGAGTGTTTTCCCACTTCTTTTAAGTTGGCTGCCAGAAAGATGCTAAATGAGTTCATGGAGGCATCCTTTAGGAATGGAAATGAGATTCCTGGCAGACCCCCCCCCCCTCAGGCACACCCCCAAATGCGGGGCAGGGGGAGGGCGGGGGAAGGACAGACCAGAGGGCGCCAGGACCTCACACCTCTTCCCAGCAAATGGCAGATCAGAGCTAATAGCTGTGAACCGGGCCCCCAAGCCCTCCTTCCCGGGTTGGAAAGTGGGCACCTGTGGGATCCCCCCCCCCCCGCCCTGCCCCGGGGTTCCGGGACGCCCCAGGGACCACCACGTTCTAGACCTCAGCCGCGGGGTCCACTGCCTGGTGATGGCCAGACTTTACTTTTCACGCCCCGAAGGCAGCGGGAAGCCAAGGTTTTCTTTTCATAAATCCGATTCCTGTGTGTCTTTCCCCCTCTCTCTGCCGGGAGCCCCCTCCTCTGGGAGGCCTTGCGCGCAGACCCTCGGCGAGGCTGCTGCCCGCGGGGCGCGGGGAGTCAGACCTCGGGCGCGGGCACTCGCCGTGGCCAGCGCAGCCGGAGTTTAGGTGCAGAGAGGACAGACCCAGGCTGCTGCGAGGGTGGGCGGTGCGGGGCCCTGGGGGAGGGCCGGTGGGTAGGAATCAAGCTCTGGCCACCAAGACCAGACCGCCCTCCGTGGAGATGCCCGCACCGGCCGGCGCCTGGACGCCGGGTCCCCACGCTGCTGGGCAGGCGAGGGGCTGCAGACAGACACCCTCAGCTCCGGGTAGCTGGCGGGGAGGGGGAACGGGGGACTTGGCCACTGGAGAGCCAGGGCGCACAGGGGAGACCCCGGGGACCCAGCCCGCCTGCTCCCCAGCGGCCCAGGAGGGAGAGGGTAGGCTGTGCCCACAGCAGTTCGATCCGGAAAGGAGTTTCAAGTCCTGGGCTTGGAAAATAGCCTGGCTCCCCAGGTCTTTCCAAAGTAGTCTTGTAGTCTTCGCAGCTCTCCGCCCCTCCTCAGCGCCAACCCTCGGAAAGAGTCCTGAGGGGAGGGCTGGAGTACTGATCACCTCAATCCTTCCCCTCTCCCCCCTCCCCCCCAGCTTTCAGGGGGAGAAAAGCACAAACCCACCCCCATCCCAACAGGCATGCCCCCCCACCCCGCCCTGCCCCCTCCCCCTCCCCCCTCCGGGGAGGGGAGGGATAGGAGCCTGGTCTCCCAGCTGGGCTCCCCATCAATAACTTGGTTATCACCCAGGTGCCTCCGCCCCGCCCCGGGGCGCCCCGTCCCGCTCTCTGCGGGGCATCAGAAAATGAAACCTCCCTGCCCTCCTGGCCCGCCAGGCCCAGCCGGGCCCGGACTGAGGAGGGGGGGGGGCGCGGGGGGCTTCGGGCGCAGGCCCAGTGGGGCCTCCTTCAGGGCGCGGGTGCCCACCCAGCGCCCATGGCCCGGCAGGCCCCACCCCAGCCCGCAGGGTCAGGCTGGGCCGGAATAAGAGGGTCTGCAGGTGGGAGGTTCAGGCCTCCCAAAGAGGCCACCTCTCCCCTCTTCAGGGGCCAGGCCAGAAGGAAACCCCTTCGCTGGGGACTCAGTCGTGGCCTGCGGCCTTGGGGTACAGCCCTTCACCCCGCTAAGCAAAGCTAAGCTGCCAAGGACGCCCTATGTCCGGGAAACCTGAGGGGGCAGGTTGCTAGTGAGGTTCTTTGTGGCCCAACAGAGGTCATGACCCTGGGCACCCCCAGGCCCTAATGAGGATCAGCCCCCAAGTGTCAGGCCCTGATCTGGGAACCGCAAGTCCAAACCCGCCACCCAACCTCCCCAGCAGCAGCTCCGCCCAAAGCTGACAAGGTGGGGCGGAAGGGGGAGGGCGCCCTGCGGACCAGGCTCCTTGCCCGTATGGACCCCGGTGGTGGCATCCCGCTGGCACCCGCAGCCCCGCTCAACAGTACAGACCAACCGGCACCCGGTCCCCGTTTTCATTAATTTAATTAAGTCTCGGCCTCACAGCAGCGCCCGAGCCTCACCCGCGCCCTGACGCCTAGGCGCCCCCGAACCGCGGACCCTGGTCCGGAGACAATGGCCGGTAATGGATGCATCGCCGTCCACAATAGCGACCCGTTCTCCTCTCCCCGCCATTCCGACCCCCTCCCCCCCTCCCCCTGCCCCGCTCCCCGCCGCGGGCGAAGGAGGGAAAACAAACAAGAAAACAGCGGGAGAAGCCGCCGCGGGGCCGGGGCGCCCGTGGCCTCTGCGCCGTCGAGGCCGCGGGGCCGGGGAAGAAAGTTGGGAAAGTTTGCGTCACCCGCTCGGTCGGTCTCTGCGCGCCGCTTTCCAACCAAAGCCGCGGAGCCGCCGGTGCTGCGTGTGCATTCGTCTGGCTGCTTGTTTGGGGGGGGGGAGAGGGGGAGACCCCCCTCTTCCTTCATCACAGGGAGAATCGTCCCCAACGCGCGGGCAGCGTCCCCGTGGAGCGCCCTGCAGCGCGCCGCGCCGCGTCCCGGACGGAAGGCGCCGCCGGGCTCTGGGCCGCGCGCGGTGCCCCGAGGCCCGGGCTGCCAGACGCCGGGATCGCCGGAGCGGGATGCGGGCCGGGGCGGAGGAGCCCGGTTCCAGGGGCAGGAGGACGCGTGGGAGCGCCGGGGAGCACCGCCGCGTGCGGGGAGGTGGGCGCGGGGCTGGCCGGCGTCTCCGCGCGCTCCCCGCCCGGGGCCTGGGGTAGGCGAGCCGCCCGCCCGCCGCCCAGGGGCGCACAGATCCATCTTGGCTGAGGGGCCTCTTTAAATATTCAGGGAGGAATAATGGCATGTGCGGCACCACCTATGGAAACATTATTATCTTCATTCTTCACCGTCAGCCCCGCGGAGAGCCGCGTTTGTCTTTTTATCAAAATCTACGGGAACCCACAGGACCTGCGGAGAGAGGGAGGAGCGGGGTGCATGTGTGAGTGAGTGTGAATGTGAGTGTGAGTGTGAGTGTGAGGGACTCGGCGAGGGCAGAAGAGAGGGGGGAAAATAAGAGGGACAAGAGAAAAAAGGCAAACAAGGAGAAAGAAGTTATAATTTAAAAAAGGGGGGGTATCGGCAAGAGGAAAACAGAAACATTCACCATCACACACACAATATTGATTTAAAATAATAATAATAATAATAATAATAATAATAAACCAAAGAAACGAAGAGAAGACGAGTCCTCCGGGGGAGCGCGCGGAGGGAGGGCCCGGTGTCCCCGAAACCCTAGCCCGGAAGATCGGCGCCCACTTCGCACGAACCAGACTCGAGGGCGCTGGAGAATTGGGGCGTCCTCAGGAGCCCTCTCCTTCCCCGATGGCGAGATAGGGCAGGGATTGTGTATCTGGACACCCCCGCCCCGCCCCCGCCTCCCTCGCGCAGCCCGGCTCAGTCTGTCCTCAGGGCGCGGGGCTGCGGGAGCCCGGAGCGCGGACACCCGGGCGCGCGGGGAAGAGCCGGGCGGAGCCGAGGACGCAGCGGCAGGTTCGCAGGCGCCGAGCCCGGCGGAGGGAGAGCGCGGGCCCGGCACCCTCCCTCCGGCTCCCGCGGGGCTCCCCCGGGGCGCGGGCCGGGAGGCTGCCCCCCGCCTGGGGAGACCGAGCTCCCGGGAAAAGTTTTGGGTGCCGCGCCCGGCAAGTGCCCGAGGCGCAGGCGAGCGAGCTTCCCGGGGGCCAGACGGCTGCGGGCGGGGACCCTCCCCCCGGCTCGTCGCCGGGAGTCTGGGGTGCGCCCCCACCCCCAGGCGGGGAGCCCAGGGGTCCTGGGGACGGGCCGGGCCGCGGGCAGGGGAAGCGGCGGCCCCTCCCCTCCCCCCGGCGGGAGCTGAACTCGGAGCCCAGGCCGCCGGTCCCAGCTCCCCGCCCGCCCCGGGCTCCGCGGCGCCACCGCGGCCGCCGCCTCCCCGCGGAGTGACGCGCCCTGCAGCCAACCGGGGCGGGCGGGGGGGCGGGGGGCAGGCCGGGAGGGCTCCTGGGCGGAGCCGGGCCGCCCCTTATCCCACGGGCTCGGGGCTGCGGCTCCCGAAAACTTCAGCCCTAATTGTCCTGGGAATGTCCGAGGTAGAGAGAGGGGACCGGGGGAGCGAGCGAGCGAGCGAGAGGCCGGGGGATCGGGGCCCTCGGAGGGGGAATCGGGGTGCCGGGAGGGCCGCCCCGCCCCCCACACCCACCCATCACGTCCCCAAACCTGTCCTGGGTCCTCTTCGGCGCGCCCCGCGAGCCCGGGGTCCGGCCGGAGAGCTCGGGCGCAGGGAGGAGCGCGGAGCCGGGCGCGGGCGGGAGGCTGGGCCGCGGGCGGGCGGGCGGGCGGGCGGGAGGCGGGAGGCGGACCGGCGTGGGGCTGGCTCTTCCCCACTCGCTTATTTTTTTATGGGGGTGGGGGTGGGCTGCTTTCTGGTGGCTCTTAAAGAAGCGAAGGAACACTCCCGAAGCGGGACTTCCTCCCCACCCCCACCCCTACCCCCCCTCCCCCCATCCCGCCGCGGGCTCCCTCCCCCGCGGCCGGCGCGCCGGGCCGGAGTTGGGAAGTTCGCGCGCCCGCAGCCCGGTCCCGGCCCCGGCCCCGCCCCGCCCGGGAGGCTTCATTCCGGGGAGGGCAGGCCGGTTCGGGCCGGCCCCGCCCGGGAGGGGAGGGGAGGGGGTGGGGGAGGGGATGGGGGCGGGGAGGGCGGGGGCCGCGGGCCAGGGCGCCCGGGGCGCGGAGGCCGCGAGGCGGGAGGCGGGAGGCGGGAGGCCGGCCCGGCGGCCGGGCCCGGAGTCCGGGGGCCGCCAGGAGGGCTAACGGGCTCGGCGGCGGCAGGGCCAGCCCCGCGGCGGCTCATTGGGCGGCGCGCGGAGGGACAGGGGTCCGCAGCAAATCACGGGCTCATTGATCGGGGCGAGCGGCCTGGATCGCGCTGGCCGCGTGCCAATCGCCGCTCACAGAGCCCCTCTATGATTAATCGCAATGCATTATTGATAATCATAATTACGGCGGGACACATGCGCGCTGCGCCCGCGGCCGGGGGGCCGGGGAGGGGGCGGGCGGGCCGGCGGGCGGGGGGAGCCGCCGCCGCCGCCGCCGCCGCCGCCGCTCGGTTTCCGTAATTTTGAGAAGATTTTTTTTTGGCAATTTTTTATTCTGCCCCAGCTGATGTGTGAGCCAGCATGTCGCGGAGGAAGCAGGCGAAGCCTCAGCACTTCCAGTCCGACCCCGAAGTGGCCTCGCTCCCGCGGCGGGATGGTGAGTGCTGCCCGCGCCGTGGACACACGCGCGCTCACACGCACACGCGCGCTCACACTCACGCACCCCGGGCCCCGCACCCGCGCCGCCGCCCGCTCCCCCGGGCGCCTCGGCGCCTTTTCCTTTTTCTCTCCGGTTCTCCGTTCCCTCCGGCGGCCCCCGCCGCCCGGGGAGTGCGAACCCCATCCCGGCGGGACCTCTCCGGAGTCGCCGGTCCGCGCGGGGAGGAGGCGGGCGCGCCGGCCTGGCTGCTCCGGCCCCGCTTTTCCGGGGCGCGGAGCCCGGACCCGCGTGCCGGCCGCCGGGGTCCGGGGTCCGGAGTCCGGGGTCCGGGCGGGACACGAGGGCGGCCGGAGGCCCTCGGCGCCGGCCGTGCGGGCTCCCCGCTCCCCGCGGCGCCCGGGCCCGGCCAGGCCTCCGCGGCCCCGCTCCGCGGCGGGAAGAAAGTTCACTCCGCGCCCGACTCCGGGCCGGGAGCGCCCGGCCGCCCTCACGCCGCCGCCGGGGTGGCTTTGGGGGTTCGGAGCTGCTGCAAGATGGGTCCCCCGTGTCGGGGTGCAGAGGCGCCGGCGGCTCCCGGGCAGCGCGGGCGGCCCGAGCGGAGCCCCGCGTTTTCCTCCCAACACGTGCACCCCGCCCACGAGCTTCCCGTGCGGCGTGCGCCCCGGGGACCCCGGTCCCCCCGGTCCCCGTCCCCCCGGAGCCCGCGGAGGCGGAGAGGCCCCCGGAGCCGGCGCCCTCGCTTCCCCGTGGAGGCGCCGCCGCGGGCCCCGCGGGGAAGCACGGGTCCGGGACCAAGTTTGTGTCCGGGAGCCGCGGCCGGGCAGACCGTTTGGGGGGCGGACGGAGGACCCCTCGAGGGGCTTCTGGTCTGGGGAGGCGTCCGCTTTCGGGGGCTCCCCGCGCCCGGCCGCGCGCCCCAAGGCGGTGGAGGCGCCGCTCGGCCCCGGGCGCCGGGGACGGACAGGGGCCGCGCCGGCCGCCTCCGCCTCCGGGCGAACCGGCGTCTGGCGGGAGGCTGGCGTCCCGGCGGCGTTTCGGGGTGTGCCGGCGGGAGCGGGGTCCCCGCGGGGCTCCGAGGCCGCCCTGCGATCGCACCCCTGCCCCCTGCACTCCGGGCCGCCCGGCCGGGGCTCCGGGCCGTCCCCAGAGGCCTGCTCCTCCGGAGGCTGGGGCGCCGGGGCCGCGCCGGGAGGCCGGGGGACTCCGGCTCCCTGCACCCCGCCTGGCAGTGGGGACACAGCACCCCTCGCCTGGGGTGGGGGGACCCTGTAAGAAACCGGGGAGCACGGAGGCCGATCAGGAAAATGATTTCCTATATTTGTCCCCGGACCCCAGCCCTTCCTCCAGCGGCAAACCGTACCCAGAGTCTCTGGGGTTTCGGAGAAGCGTCCCCGAACCCCGCTTTCCAGCCCGGGGAAGCCGGGTCTGGGGGTTCAGTGGGGGTGAAGTGACCCCAGGCCGCAGCTGCTGCGGCGAATATTTTTCCGGGTTTTTCTCAGCTGGTTTCCCTGTCTGTCCTCGCCGCCTCGCCCCACACTCCGCTCCCCCAAAGTTTGTGGGGAGATGTTCCTCCGCGCCGCCGGCCCCGGGGGGTACACTGGACAAGGTGGAGAGGCAGCACCCCCACAACCGGGGGCAGGGGCAGTTTGTGGTCTTTGTTTTTGGTAAATCTGGTCTAGGTTTTCTACATTTTCCACAAAAAAAAAAAAAAAAAAAAAAAAAGAAAAGAAAAATCACACTCGGGCTTCGGGGAGAACCGGCCTGGGGGTCCTTTCGGAATCCTGAGTTTAATAGTGAGGGCTTCCCATAAAGCCGCGGCATAAAAGGGGTCCGCTGCCTCTTCCCATTATTATTTACTAGGACTTTTTTTTAGTTTATTTGAGCTTAGAGGTAAGTTCATTAAGTCACTGAGTCAAGTTTCCTTTTCCTTTTTTCTTCCTTTTTACTTTTTCTTTTTCTTTTCTTTTCTTTACTTTTTTCCCCCCCTTTTCTCCTTTTATCCCCCAGAGCTGCTGCTTCATTGTCCTGAGAAGCTGTAAACTGAGGGGCCCCAGGAAACCTTCCCCCTGCAGCCCTTTCTCACCTCTCCCCGCCCCCACCCCTTCTCCCGGCAGTAAATGGGTTTAGGTGATGGCTGTTTTCACGTGGCTGAACAATAAGTTGGGGAGAAGCTGCCCACGGGGGAGAGCCTGTAAGAGGGTTACAGGATTTAGTTGTTGTAATAATATTAGGACACAGCTAATCCTCCCCCAGCCCTGCCTCCGAGGAGGCCCCGCACAGGCCGCGGCCGGCCGGCCGGCGCTGCTGCTCTGGGGACCCCGGCCAGGGACACAGGAGGCTGTGACACGTCTCCGAGTTACCGCCACAGCCACCCGGCCGCAGAGTCAGTCCCCCCACACATACACACACACACCACACACACACACACACACACACCCTTCAAGCACTTGTGAGTTTGGGGGTTTTCTATGTAAGGGCTCTAGCTTTTTGTTTTTGTTTGTTGTTTTTGTTTTTAATAAAAGAATAAGGTGGTTCCTTCTCCTTCTGTCTTGAACTGGTCTCCCAGGATGCCACTTGAACTACAGAAGGTCCATCCACATTTAGACCTAGCCCACGCTCGGGTCCCTCCCTGGTCCTTCCACTTTTAGGACTTCTGCCCAGAGTGGGACCTTCCAAAGTTTGTGAACCCCACTTCCAGAAGCCAAGGGACTCCCCCCAGGCTGTGGGCAGCCGGGGCCGGTGCTGTGTGCCATGCATGTATGTTTGCATGTCTGTGTGTAAGTGTGTGCGTGTGCATGCATACAAAGAAACCCCGAGCCATGCTGGACAGCCACGCGGATAACTTCATTGGAACAAGTTCAAGAAAACAAGGTTATTTTGGTCCATCTCACAATGTTCACGTTTTAATTCTACGTCCGAGAGGCGGAGGGTCCGGGAACCCCCTCAGAGCAACCTGGCGTTTTTCTGTTTCTTCTGAAACCAAGATGATGGCAAATAGGGTTTGTCTCATTGGTGATATTCAACAAGTCCCGCTGCCTGTGGGAAGATGACTGCATTGCAGAAAGTATTCACCGAGATAAGTAATTCCGAGGGAAGGGAGTATGGGAATCTAGTGATTTTCTTCGGTGTGGGTTTTTTACTAGAAATGTCGATTGCGTGATTGTGTGTGTGTGTGTGTTCCTTGGGTGGTGTTTTTAAGATTCCTGTAACTACATGGATGACCCATTCAGACTCCATTCATTTAGTAAGAAAGGATTTTTGGTGCTCAGAGATTCTTTTTTTTTGTGTGTGTGTTTTCCCCCCAAGCAAGAGATAACATTGGAAGGAAGATAAAAACCAGCATGAACTGCAGATAAAACATTGGCTATCATGTAAAGTAGCATAAAAATCTTCCTACTTATGTTAATAATGAAATTCTATTATTTACCGAAGTCATTTCCTCACCGTGAGCAGCTTCATGGCTGCACACTGATTTCTGGGCCCAGAAGGTTAGAGAGAGCTGTAATGAATTGGTGTGGTTTAAAAAAAACACAAAAACCAAAAACCAACACCTGCAAGATAAGGCAGCTGCAAAAGAATTTATGGCTCGTCGGGCCTGTGTTTGAGTTGGTGGCATCGGGGGAGCTTCTGGGTGAAGCAATGCAAACTGTTGGGGGGGGGGGGGATTGGCTTCTGGGGGGCAGCACGGACTCTCTAAAATGTTCAAGAGGAACGCGCCCCCGGGGGCCTGGGAGACGGTGTGTGTGACGGTGAATTTTGTGATGCTGGCCGTTTGGGGTTTATTTTACATCCAGTTCCTCCTGTTACTAGGCCGGCTGAGGGGTCATGCTTGGGGACCTCCTTCCATTTCTTCCCATGCCTCTACCAACCGTCCTGTCCTTTCAAAGGCGGGCGCCTACCTGTGGTTTTTGGTGGCGTTTTGGTGTTTTTATTTTGTTTTAATGTGGAAACCTTCCTGAGAACCTGGGAAAACGGGTAGATGAGTCACCCGCCTCGGTTTTTTGAAATTGTCAGAGGCCAAGCTCAGTTCCTAATTCGGATTTTCTAAGACAAGTTTCTCCGAGTGCCCGCACTGAAGCCGCGGAGCAGGTTAGCCAGCCGAGGAGGCCACCAGCTGCCCTCACACACCATCACCCTCCCCCACCGCGGGGGAAGCCGGGCCGCGCGGGGGCTGTTTTAACCTTTGCCGGCCCCCCTCCCACGCAGGGGTGACAAGGTCCAGGTCATCCAATGTCCTCCGGCCTCTTCCGCAGTGACCCCCAAATTGAGCCTTGCTAGTCACTTAGCAGGAAGTGGGTCGTTTATTTTCGTTTCACCTTATCAGCCCGGCTTCTTTTCCTAACCTCACTCCCCTCTGGCCGCCCTCGGATGCCAGACCCCCAGAGGGGAAGATTGACAGGCCATTCCCATCGCCCCGTCTCAGCCCCAAACAACGGGGATTCGGTTTCTGCAGCCCCTGCCAATGTTTACGCAGCCAGAGCGCGGGTCTCGCCTTCAGGAGCTCTCCTTTCCGCGTCACTGGAGGAGCAAAGCTACAGAGGAGTTTCTGAGCGAAGCCTGCCACTGGGACCCCATCTAGTGTTCAGTCTGGTTCCGCCCAGGGGGCCCCGCGTGGGCTCCGATCCCAGTTGTTTAAAAGGTGTGTCCTGTTGGCTCTCTCCCCGCCTTGAGCTCTGTGAGCCGGCCCGGCCCGGCCCGGCCAGGACACCCGGGACACGGTCCTGCCGCTGCTGCTGCCACAGAGCGGGCCCGAAGGCGGACGGAACAGGCACGCAGCCTCTGGCCGTGTTTGCCGTTTCTTGGGAATTGTAAGCTGGGCGTGGAGGTTCAGGCTTTTCCCAGGTCCGTGGCAACCGTTTTTTTTTAAAAAAAAAAAAAAAAGGCCAATCCATCAAAAATGTTTGCGACTGGCCCATGCAAAAGGAAGAGCCTGGTAGAATGATCTGGAAGGCGGGGACACACACACACACACACACACACACGCGCGCTTTTTGAGGGGCCCCAGAAGAAAGCCAAGCGTGGCCGAGGGCTGTGTTGTTTTGGTTTGGGCTTTTTTTCTTTTTTTTTTTTTTGCCCCTGCCGGCTAGCCCTTTCTGTGTGGGGCACGTTTTATTTTTGTTTTCTCGGGAGACAGAGATCCCGGAACACTTCAATTTTCTGCCTCCTGTGCTGCAGGGTTTGGTTCAGACGAGGAAAAATTGGCACGTTAGAATGGGGCAGCAAGTACCTCAGTAGTATAACAAGGAAAAAACCCACATTTGGGATTTTTAGTGTACACTGGATGGAGCTATAAGTTCACCCTCCATCTTCTCCCTCCATCGCCAACCCCCCTCCCCCCCAAAAAAAACCAGAAAATTCCAGAAATCTTTTTGTGTGTCCATACTTAAAAAAAAAAAAAAAAAAAAATACCCCACTCCTTCTCGAATCTTCCTGCCTGACCAGGATTACAAAATTAGATTAATTTGCATGCAAAATCCATAGCAGAGGGGCCGGCATGTCATTCTCACCACAGCACCCGGAGCAAGGCAACTGTATTCACTCTAATGGGGTCACCAGTTGCAATCCTGTAACAGATTATGCGGAGATACGAGGTAGCAGACAGTTGGAAAAATGAATTAGAGCCTGTTTGTGTGTGTGTGTGTGTATGTGTATCTTATTTCGGCTTAAATTATTCCCTTTCGTCGTTCAAGATTCAAACGAGCCCTCGTGTTTTATTGGAATTGTGTTCAGAACGCAGCTAGGTTTCAAGTGGAGAACTGTTGCAGTGTAGCGACACCTGCTTTTGAAAGAAATCAGAATAGATAACAGGGAAAAAAATTTTTTTTCCCTTCTTCCCCGGTGTTCATAAACATCAGGAAATTAAATTAGTTGCCTCTCCGGGGGGGATCAAATGGCAGATTATTAAAATGTTGCGAAAACCCAAGCTGCTGTCTGAGCAGCTCTTTAATCGGCCTCTCTCACCGCCGGCGGGCATCTATTTCCAGCGGCTCCCCTCTCTGGCCCGTTTAGCACCATCTTGAACATAAAACCGTTCGGGGTGAAAAACTTGAACGCTTCTCAAGTGAGTCTCACGGCAGCACCGCTGTGGACCTGGGGCCCGGGAAAGGAAGCAATGACCCGCCAAAGTCCCGTAAAGTTACCTCCTCCTCCATTTTCTCTCGATATTATGAGAATATCAGATGTTTGCACGTTACCGAGAATTAAAATGCCCTTTAATCCTGAGCACAGATGTGCTAAATATTTGAAGCGACGACATTGTAATGTGTACCATTGACGGAGTCAGTGTTCTGATTTCCCTCGTTGGTTATTTAGTTCGGAATCTGTCATTATTTGTCTAAGCCCAGCTGACCAAGCAAAACGGCGTTTTAAAGTGGCTTTATGTTTTGATAAATGTGAGCTGGTTGAAAAGTATTTTCCACTGAATGCGGGGCTTAATAGAACATGCTGACATAATAGTTTTAATGCATTTTGTCGAAAATGTGTGAACAAACAGAATAGCTTTTGTTCCTTCATAATTGGCTGTAAAAGTAGATGGAAACATAACCATTACATATGGAAATGTGCAAAGAGAAGGAAATAACATTTCTGTTGAATATATTAGGCACTGCATTTCCTCATTTAAAAATGAGCATCCGAAATGGATGCGTCCTTGAAAAACGGGTTGTCAAAATACGAAGAATTTTTTTGTCACATTATTTGTGTCCCGAGTTAAGCAGCATAACTTGAGGAAAATCCGTTGGATATTTTGTTTACATTATTTTAAGTAAGGGATGGAGAGAGAGAGAGAGAGAGAGAGAGAGAGAGAGAGAGGGAGGGAGGAACTGCTTAAAAAGACGGCACCTCGAATGTGCACAGGAATCCAGGGCCAATTAGGGTGATTAGACATTAAATTAAAACAGAGTCATTACTGGTGCTCGCTGCTGCCGCTCAGATGAGCCGGGTATTGTGAGTGCGTTTTGCACCCTACCCTGGTGGCGATTAGGAGATGGAATTAGGGAAGCGGCGTGTTAAGTGTGACTTAGCTCCTCAAATAGCACTCTCCGGGAACCAGGCGCGCGGTCCGTTCCCGGGAGCAGGGCGCCGGGCCGGCCTGCGTCCCCGAAGGCCAGTGGGCTCGGCATTTTCAGAAGTTCGGTGTTGAGGTATTAATTATGTTTTCTGGAATGCCAAACCGCCTGAGCCTTTTTTTTTTCCCCTTGATGTTCACTACAAAAAAAAAAAAAAAGGCAAACGAGGCTGGCTCTTTGGAGTTGACTCTAAGTTTACTGAAAAAGCAGCATTTTGATTTTGCGTTTATTCAGATTCACAATTAGCTTCCTTCTCTCTCTCTCTGATTCTCTCTCTCCCTCCCTCCCTCCCTCCCTCCCTGCGAGTTTTCTGGGGGATTCAATTTGGAAGTCATGGAAACTGACTATTATCTGACTCCGCGGCAGAAAAGCATGCAGGGAGGTAATCCTTGAATTAAACAGTTTCCCGGCCCCCGGAGGTGGCCACACACCATTTGTACAGCAGAGGCCGGTGTCCCCGGGAGGGCAGACAATGCGATGCCGGCGGCCTGTGAATGGGAGAGGCGCTTCCCGTTGGCGAGTTTTATGTTGAATTTACAAATGGGTCTGAGCGAGGAGAAGTCTGAGCAACCGGTGGAAACGCACATGAAATAAAGGGGTTTTTTTGGGTTTTTTTACACTGAAAGGTCCAGGACAATCTGTTCAACAATTGGTAACAGGGAAGCGCAAACTGTTGTGCGTGTATGGCGTGTGTGTGTGTGTGTGTGTGTGTGTGGCATGTGTGTGTGTGTGTGTGTGTGTGTGTGGCGTGTGTGTGTGTGTGTGTGTGTGTCTGTGTGTCTGTGTGTTTCACTGAGACCAGGAGAGGCAAAAGCATCTCCAAACTCTTCACAACCGGGAATTGTCTCCCGCCCCCTTCCAGGCACACCTTCCTGGCCGTGGATGTTTAATCAGAAAAGTAATCCCCACCCGCTTCGGAGACAGAGAGCCTTTGGGGGATGCTGAGCACGGGGGGCCACACGCGGAGCCTCGCGATGGATGGTCCTCACTTTGGGTTTAAAGCTAACTGTGCCACGGCTGACACACACACGCCAGGCGGGACTTGTTGCGGGGTCTGATCCTTGTGCTTCTCTTCATTGCATGTGTGTGTCTGAGTGTGTGTGTGTGTGCACACTCGTGTGTCTCTGTGTGTATGCCTGTGCTTGTGTGTGTGTGTGTGTGTGTGTGTGTGTGTGTGTTGCTCTCTCTTTTGTACCCAGTTGTGTGGAGGATTGGTTGCGGGCACGAACACAGAGTGTTTGTCACGGATCTGGCTGAGCTGGGGCTCTGGGTGGGGGCGGGCAGGTGACTCCCCGGTCATCCGTCGGCAGGCGGGCAGGTGGGTGCTGTGTATGTGTCGCCTCGTCAGCTGCTGGCTGGCATCCAAAGGGCTCCAGAGGACTTTGGTGGCAGAGCCACCTGTCACAGGTGCCGTGGCATCGGGTGGATGGGAGCCCGGGGCCTCGGAGGTCCCATGCGGTGCTGGGCCGCTCCGGGTGCGGGGACGCCGGCCTGTGAGGCGTTGGGGTCGATGCCGCGCTGTGGGGTGGCGTCGGCGCCCTGCCTTCGGGCCAGCGTGGCTTCTGTGGTGATGAACCGTCGGAAGGCCGTGGCCCCGGAGGTGCCAGGTGGCCGGGGACGCTGCCGGTGTCCTCAGCGTGCCGAGCGGACTGCCCCAGGCCCTGGCGGCTGGGTGTCGGCGGGGGCAGCGGTGTCCGGCTCCGCAGGCGCCCCGCGATGGGCCGTCTCGGGGGTGAGGGCCCGGGGGACGGGGCCCGGCTCCCTTCCTAACCCGCTCCCTTCGGTGTTGGCAGGACACGCCGAGAAGGGGCAGCCGCACCCGCGCGCCAAGAGCAAGGACGCCCACGTGTGCGGCCGCTGCTGCGCCGAGTTCTTCGAGCTGTCGGACCTGCTGCTGCACAAGAAGAGCTGCACCAAGACGCAGCTGGTGCTGATCGTGCGCGAGGGCCCCCCGCCCCCGGCCGGCGCCTTCCCGCCCAGCCCCCCGCCCGAGCGCCCCGGGGAGCCCCCCGATGACACGCCCGGCGGCACGGCTCATCGCGGGGAGCCCCCGGAGAACCGTGGGCCCGGGGACGGGGACGGGTCCATGGAGGTGGAGGCCCCGGGGGCCGACAAGGGCGCCGATGGCGACGGCGGCCGCGGCCCTCCCGGCGGCAGCCCCGCCGGCGGCACCCCCGGCGGCTCCTCCACGGGTACCTCAGCGATCACAACCTCTCTACCTCAGCCGGGGGACCTGGCGGCGCTGGGCGGCTTCTCCGTCATCAACAGCAACGTCATCATCGAGAACCTGCAGAGCACCAAGGTGGCCGTGGCCCAGTTCTCCCAGGAGGCGCGGGCCGGGGGCGGGGGCCCCGCGGGGGCCAAGCCGGCCGTGCCCGCGCTCATGGAGCAGCTGCTGGCGCTGCAGCAGCAGCAGATCCACCAGCTACAGCTCATCGAGCAGATCCGCCACCAGATCCTGCTGCTGGCCTCCCAGGGCGCCGACCAGACCGCGCCCGCCGGGCCCGCCCAGGGCGCCCCGCGGACCTCCGCCGCCCACCCGCTGTCCACGCTGAGCTCCCACCTGTCCCAGCAGCTGGCGGCCGCCGCCGGCTTAGCGCAGAGCCTGGCCAGCCAGTCGGCCAGCATCGGCGGCCTGAAGCAGCTGCCCCCGGCCCAGCTACCTCAGAGCCACCCCCTCGCCCCGGCCCACGGCGGCGCGTCCCCCCACGTGGGCATCCTGGCCACGGCGGTGACCGCCCCGTCGTCCTCGTCCTCGGACAGGGCGGCCCCGGGCGCCTCCCTGGCCGGCAGCCCCGCGGCGGTCTCGGCGGCGGCGGCCTCGCCGGCGTTCGCAATAAGCAGCCTGTTGAGCCCTGCGTCCAACCCTCTTCTACCTCAGCCGGCCCCCGCCAGCGCGGGCACCGCGGCCGAGGACCTGGCCCCGCTGGCCGCCCTGGCCCAGCAGCGCAAGAGCAAGCCGCCCGGCGGCGGAGGCCTGGCCGCGGCCCTCGAGGCCAAGGGCGCGGCCTCGGACGAGGCGTTCTTCAAGCACAAGTGCCGCTTCTGCGCCAAGGTCTTCGGCAGCGACAGCGCCCTGCAGATCCACCTGCGCTCCCACACGGGCGAGCGCCCCTTCAAGTGCAACGTCTGCGGCAACCGCTTCTCCACCAAGGGCAACCTCAAGGTGCACTTCCAGCGCCACAAGGAGAAGTACCCCCACATCCAGATGAACCCCTACCCCGTGCCCGAGCACCTGGACAACATCCCCACCAGCTCCGGGATCCCCTACGGCATGTCCATCCCCCCCGAGAAGCCCGTCACCAGCTGGCTGGACACCAAGCCCGTCCTGCCCACCCTCACCACGTCCGTGGGCCTGCCGCTGCCCCCCACCCTCCCCTTCATCAAGACCGAGGAGCCGGCCCCCATCCCCATCAGCCGCGCCTCCGCCAGCCCCCCGGGCTCTGTCAAAAGCGACTCGGGGGCCCCCGAGCCCGCCCTGAGAAGCGCGGGGGGCCTCCCGGAGGAGGCCGACGGGGCCGCGGGGCCGCCCTCCGGGGGCAGAAGCGAAGAGGGCGGCGGCGGCGGTGGCGCCCTGAGCTCGCCGACGGCGGCCGCGGACAACGGCCCGCCGGGCACCGCCCTGGCCTTCGCCAACCCCCTGCTGCCGCTCATGTCCGAGCAGTTCAAGGCCAAGTTCGCCTTCGGGGGCCTCCTGGACGCCGCGCCGGCCTCCGAGACCTCCAAGCTGCAGCAGCTGGTGGAGAACATCGACCGCAAGGCCGCCGACCCCAACGAGTGCGTCATCTGCCACCGCGTGCTGAGCTGCCAGAGCGCCCTCAAGATGCACTACCGCACGCACACGGGCGAGCGGCCCTTCAAGTGCAAGGTCTGCGGGCGCGCCTTCACCACCAAGGGCAACCTCAAGACGCACTACAGCGTGCACCGCGCCATGCCGCCGCTGCGCGTGCAGCACTCCTGCCCCATCTGCCAGAAGAAGTTCACCAACGCCGTGGTCCTGCAGCAGCACATCCGCATGCACATGGGCGGCCAGATCCCCAACACGCCGCTGCCCGACGGCGCCTGCCCCGAGTCCATGGGCTCCGACGCCGGCTCCTTCGACGAGAGGAACTTTGACGACGCCGACACCTTCTCCGACGAGACCATGGACGGCTGCCCTGAGGGCAGCATGCCCGACACGCCGCGCTCGGCGGACGCCTCCCGGGACAGCCTGTCGTCCTCGCCGCTGCCCCCCGAGGTGTCCAGCATCGCTGCGCTGGAGAACCAGATGAGGATGATCAACGCCGGGCTGGCCGAGCAGCTGCAGGCCAGCCTCAAGGCCGTGGAGAACGGCTCGGTGGAGGGCGACGTCCTTACCAACGACTCGTCCTCGGTGGGGGGCGACGTGGAGAGCCAGAGCGCGGGCAGCCCGGCCGCCTCCGAGTCCACCTCGTCCATGCAGGCCCTGTCGCCCGCCAGCGGCGCCCCGGACTTCCGCAAGTCGCCCGGTGCCGAGGAGAAGCCGCCCCGGCCGGGCCCCGGCGAGTTCGCCAACGGCCTGTCCCCGGCCCCCGTCAATGGCGGGGCCCTGGACCTCACGGCGGGCCACTCGGAGAAGATGGTCAAGGAGGACTCCCTGGGGCTCCTCTTCCCGTTCCGGGACCGGGGCAAGTTCAAGAACACGGCGTGCGACATTTGCGGCAAGACGTTTGCTTGCCAGAGTGCCTTGGACATCCACTACCGGAGTCATACCAAAGAGAGACCCTTCATTTGCACAGTCTGCAGCCGCGGCTTCTCCACCAAGGGCAACCTGAAGCAGCACATGCTCACCCACCAGATGCGCGACCTCCCCTCCCAGCTCTTCGAGCCCAGCCCGGGCCTCGGCCCCGGCCCCGGGCAGAACCCCGTGGCGGGAATGCCCCCCGCCAGCCCCTTGTCCGCGCTCATCAAGACCGAGGTCAACGGCTTCATGCACGTCCCTCCTCAGGACGGCAAGGACCCCTCGGCCGGCGGCCACGCGCCCTCCGGGCCCTCGGCCACGTCCCCCGTGCTGCTGCCGGCCCTGCCCCGGCGGACCCCCAAGCAGCACTACTGCAACACGTGCGGCAAGACCTTCTCCTCGTCCAGCGCCCTGCAGATCCACGAGCGGACTCACACCGGCGAGAAGCCCTTCGCCTGCACCATCTGCGGGAGAGCGTTCACCACGAAAGGCAATCTGAAGGTACCTGTGCCCTCGGCCCTCCTCCCTCTCGGGTGGCCCGGCGATGTCTGTGATGCGTACCCAGACCCCCGTGGGGAAGTGGTGGCTGTGGGTGGGGCTCGTGGCCGGGACCAGGCCCGGCTGCAGCTGGCAGAGGGTGGGCGGGCATCGAGTCACTGGGCCCCGTCTCCCCTGTCTCGTTCAGTGCACCCAGTGCACGGCCGCACCTCCCGGGGAACACGGCCTGTGGCCATGGGTATTGATTAACGCCTCCCCGGGCCTGCGGGCTGCCCGATCGCGTAATGATCGCAGCTCTCCGCGCCCGAGCCCCTCCTGTTCATGGCCACGCGGCCGGCCCGGTTCTTTCTTCCAAGCTTGGTAGCACCGGCCCTCCGCTCACAGGCATTCTGATAATCGATGAGGCGATGCCGCCTGCTGACATGTGATGGAGAGCCAGCCCGTGTGCTTCCACGCTGGAGCAACAGCTGAGTACATCCTCCTGTTGACAGAGGCGGTCCCCAGAGGTTTCTGCCAGAAAGGCGAGAGGAGTAACGGCGTTCTGGCGTTTTCTCTCATGCACAGGGGCCCTCGGACGGGCCAACAGGGAGGAGGACTCCTTTTTTTTATATATGTATATTTTATTGATTTTTTACAGAGAGGAAGGAAGAGGGATAGAGAGTTAGAAACATCGATGAGAGAGAAACATCGATCTGCTGCCTCCTGCACAACCCCTACTGGGGAGGTGCCCACAACAAAGATGTACACGCCCTTGACCGGAATTGAACCTGGGACCTTTCAGTCCACAGGCCGACGCTCTAGCCACTGAGCCAAGGGTGGCTCTCTCCCCAGCTGGAAAGGACGTTTCTAGAGCACAGGGTGTCAGACACAATCCTTGCCGCGGTAATGAGAGTGGACGTAACCATCTGACCCCGGCCGGCACGCTCCGTGACCGCCTGGCTCGCCGGAGGCCATTAGATGCTAAACGGGGGCCATAAAAACAGAGCGAGGGCGGGCACGTCGGCCGGGAGGAGAGGCGGCCGGGGCAGCAGGGAGCGTGGTTGTTACCGCCTTCGGAGCGGACGGTCCCGTCCCCCCATCCGCTGCCCGGCGCTGAGGAGGACAGACATGCCAGCCGCCGGCTCAGTGCTGCTGGGTTGGGAGTTGTAACAAGAGGCAGCCGTTAAGCGTCTCCCTCCCTCTCTCCCCCCGTCCCGTTCCCCTCGCCCTCTCCCCGCAGGTCCACATGGGCACCCACATGTGGAACAGCACGCCCGCGCGGCGGGGCCGGCGGCTCTCCGTGGACGGCCCCATGACCTTCCTGGGCGGCAACCCCGTCAAGTTCCCCGAGATGTTCCACAAGGACCTGGCGGCCAGGGCGGGCAGCGGCGACCCCTCCGGCTTCTGGAACCAGTACGCGGCCGCGCTGTCCAACGGGCTGGCCATGAAGGCCAACGAGATCTCCGTCATCCAGAACGGCGGCGTGCCCGCCCTGCCCGGCGGCCTGGGCAGCGGCAGCAGCTCGCCCGTCGGCGGGCTGACGGGCAACCCCGAGAAGCTGCCTGGCTCGGAGCCCAGCGCGCCCCTGGCCGGCCTGGAGAAGATGGCCGGCAGCGACAACGCCGCCGCCGGCTTCCGCTTCACCCGCTTCCTGGAGGACAGCAAGGAGATCGTCACCAGTTAGAGCGAGGCCGGCCGAGGCCCAGCCTGCCCGCCGCCCCCGTCTCCTCGGGTCCCCCCAGATCTCGGAACTGCTTCCCCAGGATGGAGACATTCTTTTGTACCTTGCTCCACTTCTAGAGTTCTAAGAAAGCTTATTTATTAGCGATGTAACCTCGCTCTGCAGACAGGATTGCAAGCGTTAACTTTGGTCTTCTGTATTCGGGACTAAGTACTAATTGACTAGAGTGCTGTAAACTTGCTGTAACATTTATGGCAATTGCAAAGTTGCCCTGCTAGGCGGTCTTAATCTGGCATTAACTTATTTTCTATATCCAGTTTAATATGAAGCCGGTGTGGCTGCCATGCCCCCGTGATGCATTAGGTCTCTAATAAAGTCTGTATATAAATGTACACTTTGATCCTGCTGGGGCATTTTCTCGGCACACACGCATCGTCTCATCTTCCGAAAACAGAGTTAAGGAAAAGGACTGAGTCGTACAGACTGAACAGTGTGGTTCTTTGAAAGGTTTGGGGTTTTTTTTTTTGTTTTTTTTTGGTTTGGGGTTTTTGTTTTGTTTTGCCTTTTTTTTTTTTTTATCCTAAAATTCGACCTGGGTTTTTTGTTTTTGTTTTGTTCTGATTTTTGTAGATTTAACCATTTCCGTTCCGAACTGCTCTTTGTATTGCGCTTTTTACTTGAGTCGCCCTGGGTGTCCCTAGGTTTCCGCACGATTCAGGAAGCACGCCGACTGCTCTAGAGAACACGCCGGTGTGCTTTGGTCGTGGAAACTGGGATGGAACGTTCGTTTTTGCCTTGTAGGTGTTGTCCCTTCGCCCTGGCCGCCGTGTGCTGGAGTTCCCCAATGCTGCTACGTACGAGCATCTTGAAAACAGCCTTCGACGGAGGGGGAAAATGTGGGTGCTCTGCGGATACCGTGAGGAACGTGGCTTCCGCTGACATGTGCACAGGTCCCCTCCCGCACGCACGGCGGCGGCCTGGGCGGAGCGCGGCCTCGCGGTGTGCGCCGGGCGCTGCTGGACTCGCTACACGCACTTTCTCGGGAAGCTGGAAGGACGGGGCGGGGTCCGATTTCTCTAACGTTTAATACTTACTAACAACAGAGATGCTGTACTTTTACTCACGTAATCAAATACAGTCTTTTTTTTTGTCTTTTTTTCTTTTTGCAACAGATCAAACCAAACGCCGTGTCTGTGTGCTCAGAGTGCGTGTTCTGTGTTCCCCGGGCCAGGCCCCGTGTGCGTGCCACGTAACCTTCTCCCAGACACCCGCAAACCGGGCGTGTGCGTGCCCATCGCGCTGTGAGGAAGGGATCGTAAAGGCAGACACGGGTTTGAGTGGGCCTGTGGTTGGTTGGTCTTTCTCTCTCTCTCTCTCCTTCCTTCCTTCCTCTTTCTCCCCCTTTCCTTTTTTTCTTTCTTTCCTTCCTTCTTTTCTTCTCTTTCCTCTTTTTCTTTTTCACTTTGAGGCTCTAGATCTTTCCTCAATAGCTACGATGTGTTGGGCCACTCTTCCTGCAAATCCCCAACAAGAAAAGGGGGAAATAAAATAAAATAAAGCGCAGAGTCATTCCTGGAGGCTGCGCCCGGCCAGGTAAGCTTCCTTCCGCAGAGCCTGCTTGGACGCGGCGGCTTTGGGGTATGTTTCCGGCGGAAGCGGAGAGCGGCGCTGTCTCGGAGGAGAGCGCGGAGAGAGTGTTGTCTCGGAGGCCCGATGCGCAGGGTTACGTGATCCGCCTCTGAGCCCGCACAGCCAGCCGGGTCACAGCAAGCGCTTTATGTCGTAGGCACCTGCCCACCCTGTCCATGCTTTTCTCCTTCCATCCTGGGACAGACATCCCCGCCCTCACCCGTCCGCCAGGCCTCGCCTGCCCGTCCACCTTTCCCCGCTCCCTCCGAAGCGTCCGGTGCCTCGAAGTCGCTTGGGGACCCCCAGGGCCGAGGTTCCTGCGTTGTGGCCCCCGGAATGAGCGAATGCCACAGAAGTTCTGAACTCAAACCAGTCATGTTGGGGACACACTCCCCCTGCTCTTGTCCTGAGTGAGCTGTAAAAACAGCCCAGTACGGCTCTGCCCCGCACAAAATTCTCCGCCTGACCACTGGGGCGTTTCTGTCTGGGTTTTTGTCCCACCATGTCCCTCTCCTCTTCTTATCCCGGGTCTTTCCTTCCCTCTATTCTTAGCAGTTTTTCTTTGCAGCCCCACCACCTCTGGCCCCTCAACCTTACACACACACACACACACCCTTACACACACACACACACACACACACACACCCTTACACACACACACCCTTACACACACACACACACACACCCTTACACACACACACAGGAGCTCCCTTCTTTCCAGAAAATACGCTGGCAGAGGCGCTGGTGACTGCCTGGGACTTAGGGAGGAAAAAAGGAAAGAGACCCCAACTGCCCGAGACCCTCAGGCCATGGGTGGGGAGGGGTACAGTAAAGGGAGGGGTACAGTAAGGGGAGGGGTACAGTAAGGGGAGGGGTACAGTAAGAGGGGAGGGGTACAGTAAGGGGAGGGGTACAGTAAGGGGAGGGGTACAGTAAGGGGAGGGGTACAGTAAGGGGAGGGGTACAGTAAGGGGAGGGGTACAGTAAGAGGGGAGGGGTACAGTAAGGGGAGGGGTACAGTAAGGGGAGGGGTACAGTAAGGGGAGGGGTACAGTAAGGGGAGGGGTACAGTAAGGGGAGGGATACAGTAAGAGGGGAAGGGTACAGTAAGGGGAGGGGTACAGTAAGAGGGGTACAGTAAGGGGAGGGGTACAGTAAGAGGCGGGCAGCCTCGGGTCCACTGGAGAGACCTCACGCTCTTGAGTTTTGAGGGTTCCTATCGCCATCCTCATGGATTAGTAACTAACTTGGGGAGGATTGGGGCAGGGGGGACAGTTGTTTTATTAGAAAAAGCCGCAGCGCCCACACAGAAACCTAAGGACCTGCGTGGACATGGATGGCGGGCGGCAGGTTATTTGCTTGTTGGTCTTGGCGTGTCCTGCCTGCCGGAACGAGGGACTTACAAAAGGAAGCAGAGAAAGCTCCCGCTGTTAGAACTCGCAGCCTGTGGGCATCTGCCTGGGAGTGACGTGCTCTCCCCCCAATGAAACAAATGTCCGGGGGGGGGGGGCGACAGCGGGGGGGGGGGGGGGGGGGGGCGTGTAAAGTGCATTTCAAAGGCTCCCCAGCAACGCGCCCTCCATCCATCCCAGATTCCCAGAAAGTGGAGACGGATAAGACAGGAATTAGGTCATCTCCTGCAGACCCCGGGAAATCTGCTCAGATCAAAGCCCGCTCCGGAGGATAAACAAAGCCGGCCCACAGGGCTCCCCCATATTTCCATCTCCGCGCGCTGAGAGCTCCTAATCTCGAGTCGGATGAAAGGGGGTACAACATGACAACTGTAAAAATGACGCGGTAGAGAAAAAAGGTCCTCTCTGCCTGGGACGGGGGAGATAAAGGCTCAGATGGGAGCTAAAAAGTAACAAGATCCAGGCCCACAGCAACACCAACTTCCTGGAACTGGAGCCCCAGTAAATGGTCTAATCCGGGCCCATTGTTTCCTCCCGCACCCCCCCCCCCCCCCCCCCCCCGCCCCTGCCACGGAGCGGCCAGATGATTTACATAAAATACATTGTTAAATGTTAACGGCCTTCTAAGAACGCGGCAGGAGGTCGCCCACTTACTCTGCACCCCTAAGGACCTGCCCCCCATCCTCCCATCCACCGCAGTGCCCGGCCCCCCAGGCAGCGGTGGGGCCAGTGCTGGTCTTTATGGCCGAGGATGTGCTGTGAGCCCCATCTGCAAGGCTGGGCTCCTGGTCCCCCAGGTCAGACAGACAGACAGACAGACAGAGGCCCGGCGGGAGCTGGCCCTGTCCTGGGAGCCGGCTCCGGGTCGGCACCACTGGTCAACGCGCTGCTTCAGCAGCTGAGCCGAAGGGCTGTGCTCGCACGCAGCCTGCTCTCCCGCCCCGCTGACAGCCTCGCCCCGGCTGCCAGGGATCCTGTGATAGACAGAAACATCCAGAAACGGGACAGGAAGTCCCAGGGAAGGGAAACTCGCCCCGGCTGGACCCGAGGCCGTCGCTCCGTGCTGAGCCCGGCTTCCTCTGAGCTGTTTGAACACGTGCCCTGGCTCTGCTCCTGCGGCTTCACAAAGGCTGGGGACGGCCCTGGGCAAGGCCAGGCCAGGGCGGCGGGGGAGGGGCGAGCCTCGGTCCCAGGCCCGGCTTTTGACTCACGTCCCAGTCACACCATGGGGGAGGCCGCACAGGTCGACCCCTCCTTGTTAGGGCAGTGGGGGGGGGGGGGGGGGGGAGGCGGGGACCGTCCAGCTGCCCCCGTGTGGCTGAGTCCTGACAGCGAGGCCTGCTGGACCCGGATGGCGAGGGGCCAGAGGTCATGTCGTCCATCTCCTGGGGATCGTGGCCACATTCGGTCTGAGGCCCAGAGTCCCACCCGCAGGCCTGAGGAAGAGGTACACCCGGCCACCTCCCTCCTGGGGGGACCGGGCGGACGGAGGCGGCTGCTTCTGTGCTCAGAATTGGCGGTGTTTCTACCTGTCACCTCTCATCACAGCCCTGCGACCACTGTCGTCTGCCAGGTGACAACACGGAGACCCAGAGAGCAGAGGAGGAGCAGTTGGCACCACAAACCTGGAGCTGTCACTCACTCAGGAGTCAACTCTGGCCCGGCCAGTGTGGCTCAGTGGTTGAGTGTCAACCTCTGAACCAGGAGGTCGTGGTTGGATTCCCGGTCAGGGCACAGGCCAGGGTTGTGGGCTGGATCCCCAGTTCTCTCTCGTCATTGATGTTTCTCTCCCTCCCTCTCCCTCCCTCTCTGAAATCCACATGAAAATATATATTTTATAAAGAGCCAGCTCGGTAGGATCCTCACGTGTGGGAGCCACACCCCCGTTTCCCCGTCTGGGCCCGAAAGGCTCGCCAGCCACCATTCCCGGGAGCCCCCCTCAGCGCCTTACGACGTCCCCGTGTCACGGATTGAGAGCCACCGGTGTGACTCCCGGCTCCCCCCCCCCGCACTCCAAAAGTTCATTTTTGCCCCTTCGAGTGAGGAGAGACCTCCATCAGCCCCCAAACCAAACGAAACCCGAGGAGGACCTCGGCGATTACAAAGAAGGCAAAGGTGAGGATGGAGCGCCCGCTGTCTGCTCTGCGAGGAGCCTGCCCAGAGCAGCGGTCCCTGAGCAGGGAGCGCGGACAGCGGCCGGCAAACTCATCCGTCCTCGGAGCCGAACATCAACAGCACAGTGATGGACATTCCTTCGGAGAGCCACATTTTTTAAACATAAACTTCTAACACCACGTCTTCGACACAGACTTGCCCAGGCCGTGGTGTTTAGTGGAGGGGCCACACTCGAGGCGCCGACCACAGGCCTAGTGAATATGTACGCTGCGTTGCTTTAATGAAGAACTTCCCCCCTTCTCTGTTAAACACACACACACACCTAAACGGTAAGATAATTATTGGCATGTATTGCTCAGTGAAGCAAAAGTTTGTCAAGCCGAGTTCAAGTTCAAGTCCAAGGAGGCAGAACCCGGACCTGCGTTTCCTGGGCTTTGGTCCTGGGGCTGCTGAGTGCCAGGGAAAGTGATGGTCTAATCTAATTTTTATCATTAAAACTCAGAGCTTCTCCCGGCCGGCGTGGCTCAGGGGTTGAGCATCCACCTAGGAACCAGGAGGTCACGGTTCAATTCCTGGTCAGGGCACAGGCCCTGGGTGTGGGCTCCATCCCCAGTTGCAGGTAAGCAGGAGGCAGCCGATCCATGATTCTCTCTCATCATTGATGTTCTCTCTCTCTCTCCCTCTACCTCTCTTTGAAATCAATAAAAAATATTTTAAAAACTCTGTTTTGATG